AAGAAGAGAAGCAGTGAAGGGGTGCTCTTCTTTAATAAGCAGCTGAGAAGAGCAGCATGCCCCTTTAATGCAGTACAGCATATGGTCAATACCCAAAGTTTAGGCAACAGCATGTTGCCCTATCCAGATAATCGTTAGCATTTAATAACACCTTTAGTAGCAAAATCTACATACTACAAGTTAAGTATCAAGCACATTACCGATACACTGTATAGCTTTAAGCAACAGCATATCACAGACTTAAACACAGCTTGATGGAATTAATCATACACAGGATGTGTTTAATGAAACAGCATCCTCAATACTAGATGAGCCTTAAGCAGCAAGTCTGTTTCATATCACAGTCTTAAACAGATTTAAAAACAAGCCTCAGCTGTGGTAAGTTTAAACGGTAACGTTAATGTTACCAGTGTGTCAAAATACAACCAATAAGCCTAAGCTACGGCGTGCCTAGCAAACCAACATGTTACTGAACAACTAGCCTTAAACAACGAGCAATATTTGACAATAGCATATTTGCCAACATAGCGTTAAGCAATGAGAATGAAATAAGAAACTTAGCAGGAAATGTTGCTTAATAATATATTTATGGGGGAAGCATCACCCCAAGCGCAGCAAGTGAGGAACCAGAGGAAAATGACTGTAGTTACCTGTTTTTATTTTTTTTTTTAATTATTTTTTATTTTTTTATTTTTTAAAGGCACTGCTTGTACTGCTTAGAATAATTCCCCAGCTCAGCAAGTGAGGAACCAGAGGAAAACGACTGTAGTTTCCTGTATTTATTTAATTATTATTTTTTTTAATGCGCTGCTTGTACTGCTTAGAATAATTGGACTATATTTAAATCCCTTGTGTCCATTTGAGCGCTCAGTCATAACCTTCCAATCACCACCGAAGTGTTTTTTTTTTTTTTATAAATGAACATAGCTTGATCTCAGCCAGTTGATCATGCTTAATCAACACATGTCATATCACCCTAATTTCTCATGCTCATATGCTCACAATACTCAGCGTGCGCACATATTCAAGCGGATCAGAAATCTCTAATAAGTGGCAGTCCATTAATTTGCTCCGGAGCAAGCTGAAAAGCTGCTGAATAATACTGAATACAGCTTATATAGGAATGCCGCGATAGGTGTCGTATTCCTATAGGTAGATGTGATCAGCTGAGAATCAGCTGATGCAAGCTTGACTCACGTGACCTGCCAGAACTAACGCTAAAGCTTAATTAATATCCCTGTATTGGTTTTATAAGATATGATATAGTGAAGTAATATATGCAAGAGTGCCATTTTCCTGAATATCAGCACGTGAGCGTGACCGCAAAAGTGTGATATTGATTTTATACAACCGTTCAACAAACAAGAAGTTAATATTGAGGGAGTTACATTTTAGACTCAACGTTGTCTGTTCTTTCTGTTTCGCCAACGAAAATAGTTCCAAACAAAGCCGGATCAGAACATTTGTGCATCTGAGAGCAACACTGCAGCGTTTCGTTCCTGAATGAATCTGTTTTTGAATGAATCATTTGAGCCAATGATTCAGTAATCCGTTCATAAAGACATAATTCACTTGCTTCGTTTCTAAATGAATCAGCAGTTTTGAATAAATCGTTTGTATTAATGATTCAGTGAATCACTCATTAAAGGGACATGCCGCCACCTACTGGTGGTGTTAGTGTCATATTTGACATTCCTAAACGAGCCAAGGTACAAAACTCACTCTGCAAAATATTGTTTAATTATTGTTATCCAAAAAATGTTGGTGTCATTTGTTGTCAATATTATATCACACACCCCTACTTTGATGTCACTGATATTGTGGTGCCAGTTTGAAGACTTAATTACACTTTTTTGTTTTTGTTTTTGACAGGTTCTTGACAATTACGAGCGAGAAGGTTTCCAGTTCCTCGCGAAGGTCTTTAACTCATCCCATTCCTTCCTGGAGGATCTGACGGGCTTGACTTTACTCCATCAGGAGACTCAGGCAGCTGAGGTTAGACTCATCATCTGCATCACCCTGTGTGTGCTCACAATCACATTCAGATCAGAGCCAACGATTACTGACAAGTTCATGATTACTGTCAGATCAAAACTGTTCTTTTGGCCTGTGCCATCCGGTGACAAAAGCTGTGTGCATTCATTATTAATTGATCAGATCCACTTGCACATGTACACTTGGAAATATACTATGCACAGATGGTTATAGATGAAACAGCCTTTAAGTCCTGTAACCGCTAGTCCACACGAGATTGTTCAGAGATGAGTGAATGATGAATGATCTGTTCACTATCAGCTCAGACACTAAAGCTTACGGCACATTGAGGAAATATGATCAGGCTGATTATTTTAAAAAGAAAAAGAGGATCTCCATTGCAGAGCATTGAGTTTCTGTTGACCTGACATATGGTGAACACACACGACACGATCCAGAGCCCACCGCACAAAACTCACATCAAGCCTCAGACTGGCTTATCTGATCATTATTATTTAATATCTGTCTGTACGTTCATGAATGTGTTGCAGCTACATCAATCAATATCTGCAAATTCATAAAGGTTTCTGATGAAGTTTATGCTTTTAGTAGACACTTTTATCCAAAGCGATTTACAATAGAGGAACAAAAGCGATTCCTAACAGAGGGAAGCAATATAGAGAAGAGACCTTCAAGAACATATTAAAATAATTTAAAAATGACCCATTTAAACTTTGTCAGTCATTGTACAGGAATCAACTTTTGAGGATGTGATATCAATAAAATCTAGTGTAGATGCATTAGTTACTGAAATTTAGTGTATGCGGGTATACAGTATATTGTAGTTTATTAATGCGTATTAAGATGCTGTAACCAATAAATAGTGAATGTGATTAAATAATATTTTCCCATGAACGCGAGAACTTTAGGTTTAGGTTGTAGTTCTGGAAAATGGTGGCACTGGAGACTAAAGGCTTCCTGATGGTTTCACACCTAATTCTAGTTTGGGTGTGTGTGTGTGTGTGTTCGTTTGGCCATTTACAGCTCTTTGTGGAATGTGTTTGAAATCAGATTGCAGGATGCTCGTGGGGGCTGGTTCTAATCTTACTTGAAGGCGAAGAACCATTTGGCAATTTACTCCCCTATACGAACGTAAAGTTTCTGACCAGAACTGTAATTTATATGCAAATGTCAAAAGGCTAAAAGGGGTCTTTTAAGCCATAAACAGTCCAACGCTCATGCATGATCCTACGCAGACGCTACAGCTGCAATATAACAAAGAGTGAAAAATTTAAGGGGGTCTGAATACTTTCCGTACCCACTGTATATATAATGCCAGATTCATTAGACAACTGGATTGGGAAGCAATATAGAGAAGAGACCTTCAAGAACATATTAAAATAATTAAAAAATGACCCATTTAAACTTTGTCAGTCATTGCACAGGAATCAACTTTTGAGGATGTGATATCAATAAAATCTAGTGTAGATGCATTAGTTACTGAAATTTAGTGTATGCGGGTATACAGTATATTGTAATTTATTAATGCGTATTAAGATGCTGTAACCAATAAATAGTGAATGTGATTAAATAATATTTTCCCATGAACTCGAGAACTTTAGGTTTAGGTTGTAGTTCTGGAAAATGGTGGCACTGGAGACTAAAGGCTTCCTGATGGTTTCACACCTAATTATTCACCTTAATTCTTAAATCTTTTGCCGTTAACATGCATCTTTTCTTCTCCACCTGTTTTTTCTGACCCTGCTTGACCCACTGAGCATTTAGCTCTCCAATGGTCATGCCTTAACTTTGCAAATTCTAGTATTGCATTAGTATTGCATCCTTCTCATGGCCATTTAACCATTTTTGACTTTTAGTCTGAGTTAAATCTTTTTTTTTTTTTGCCTCATTTGATCTTTTAAAGAAAACCTGCTTAATAATCATGCACACCTGAATACAAGGCGTTTTTTAACTTCCAGCCTTCATGAATAATTGTATATCATTTACAAATGATTAAAGACTAAATGAATAGTAGTTATTTAGATTGATGTGGTTTGGAATTGGTAAAATGTGTTTGGGAAAAAAAATGTGATCAGTATATCAACGTGGCTAATAATTATGCACGCACTGTATGTATTTATTGATGTATAATGTCTTAATATTCCCCAAATCTTGCAGAGGACCATGAAATCCTAATTTTGGACTAAATCAGCATATATAAAACTTTAATGATTGCAACACAAACGTCATTGAGAAAACTACTCCAACCCAAATACTACATTTGTAATTCTTCCCGCTCAAGAAGTCATAATAGCTAATAGCTAAGTTAAATAGCCATAATGCAGTCAGTTCTTGCTGTTCCTGGCTCCCGTCCCAAACTTCACTTCGACTTGCTCTGGAGATCATGTGTCCCAGAAATATCTCCATACGCTCCTGATCCAGGAACAGTTTTCATCAGTTTGCTCCGATCTCAGTCTCTCTACCCCATCGAGCCAAACGTACCCAGGAGCAGGGTTTTGATTCTGGGAACGGTCCCTCGCCGGGACTCTCCAGTGACAAACACAGCCAGTTTGAAACTGTGGGAAAGTCCCACATCAGCAGTCCTCTGCTCTCCAGAGCGGTTTAGAGACGCAAACGCAGTCCAACCCAAAATGAGAGGATATGTGCTCCTGCATTTGCCCACGCTTATTGTCTGAAGCCTTCAGATTCATTTCACTTGGATCCGCAGTCAGGCGCTTTATATTCCCATGTTGACGTCTTGTATTTTTAACTTCAGCTTCAGGATTGATGTCAAACTGTGAAATGAATGGAAATGCACCACTTCTAGTTTGGAAGTGGTGGTTTTGTGTGTCATTAGTGTGGGGAACGACACGTCTCTCATTACTTCTGGACTGTTTGATTCAGTGGGATGTTTTCTGTGGAAACGGCTTGCAACTCGATGCTTTAAAATGTGTCTATTTTCTTTGACATTTTCCATGAATATGGTGCACTTTGGTGTTCCATGAGTTTTTTTAAGCTTGGAGACAGAAATAATATGTTGTTTACGTGAGAACAGTTTGATAGGTTTTAAAATTAATCTAGCATAAAACGTTTTAAACCCGTGAAATATCTGTACAACCACCACCAACCCACCCAATGGTTTCTGAATGAATTTTAAAATATATCTTAAAATCATACAGGAACATCATAATGAATAAATAAATATTCAGTCCATTTTTGAGGAGCAGCTTTTTTCTAATTGTTAACTTTTTTTTAGTAACATTTAACTCTATTGACACCTTTTTTATCACTCAGAATAAACTGTATTTAGACATGGATATAATTTTGGTAATAGGGTTGCAAATGCATAGAAATTAAGGGCTCATGTGATAATTTGGTTCTGAAGTTTAAGCACTTCCTTCCACTGACCATTTGATGAAAAATTGGGGGAAAATGACTTGTTTTGGCACCCTCTATTCATTTATATGCTGCTTTCAACATGCTTGATTTTGCTATAAGAGCACAATATGAGTGAAATTGCATAAATATGTGCTCTTGTGAAACTCAGTGGACATAAACAACATCATCCAATCAGCTGATGAGCTTCAGGAAAGCTGTTCTGTGCTGAGATCATGAAGTTAACCATTGTAGGGCTTCAGACAGACTCACATCAGTCGATAGTTTATGTGTAGAACAAATAAATTAAACGTCTATAAAACAAAAAATACAACTTTTTAAACTGCCGGTGTTCGTCAAAACCTCTAGTGAAAGCCGCTTGAATATTCACGGAGGTTCAATTAGGCTTAAAGTCTGAAGGAATGACTTTTTAAGCGTGTTTAGACCTGATAATCAAGCGTCAACATTCACAGCCCATTTCCGCAGTAGACTTCCATCTTTTCTTTCCGGAATGATTCCAGACCTGTAACTTTCAGAGGATAACTTATAGAGCTGCACAATTACTTGACAGATGAATTGAGATTGTGTTTGTATTAAGGTTATGTATTATATGTGACCCTGGACCACAAAACCAGTCTTAAGTGTCAATTTTTCGAAATTGAGATTTATACGTCATAAATAAAGAAATAATTACACTCATATTATGAAGACATGCATTGCAGTAGCTTAATTGTCAGCCAATTATATTACAAATATTATACAAGTTAAATATATATAATGAATATTATAAAGCAAAAAAAGGTTGAGAGAACTTACCCGTTGTTTGAAATGGTTCTTTTGTCTGCCTTCAAGTCAAAAAACAGCACACTCTATATCGAAGTCTGAAACGACACGATCGGAGCTGTTGTCTGTGGTTTACCATTTATATGCGAGTGTTGTACACCACCCATGTTATACAAACTTTGTTATAAGCAGTCATTTAAAGTAGCTCTGTATAAATGTAAAAAATAGTGTGTTCATATATACTGTAGTAATGGCAATTTGTTGATAGTGTAAGAGATAAAGATCCTACTTATCCTGGTAGCTGTGTAAAGATTCAATGAAACATGAATCTACACTGGACTTTAAGACATAAAACCTCACCACATGCCACCACTGATATTGTGTGCATCATGATGTCAAGCTGAAGCTTCGAGTCAAGTTTTTTGACTTTTCTCAGTAGGTTAGACTCATCTTTAGTGAGTTTTGATGCTGTTGCTGTTCATTTCTTACCAGCTCACGAGACACTAGGCTGTGTGATATTGTTGATCCTGCTGCACTGCTGTATTTGTGCATCATTACTGTGGGGCTGCAGCGAGTGCTGTCATAATATTTGGATGCTGGACTCACACAGGCGCTCCTCTGTTGAAGGCGTAGGTAGGGAAGCAGTTTTGGGGTGATATTTTCTGTCCCCCCGCTGAAGGAGTGTGTACTCAGGCCTGTGGGTTGGAGCGAGCGAGTCTCTCAGAGTGGATGATGGGAAGAAATCCATCGTTTAACCCACTGGACTGGAAGAGCAGTACAACGTACACATGGAGACAGAGAAAATGAAAAAAGAGGCATCCGTTCAAGCTCCCGTGTAGAACTGAGTTCTTAAGCGTTCAGTC